CCCCCCTGCCCCACTTGCATCTTTATCCTGGAATATTCTCCCCCACTCTTTCATGCCACTATTCCCTCTAATTATATTTTTTCACTCTGGTTGCAAGATGTAGGTTTCCATGCAGTTTTTTCATATGCCCTTCATTTCAGTTAAGTCCCAAATTTGTCACTTCCCCATTCACATTTGAACCTTTCTACTCTAAGCATTTCTCTTCCTACTCTGATTTTTACCTATATTTTCCTAAGCCCATTTCCCTTAATGAGTCCATCTCCCAATGGCCTGTCTATAACTACTTGGCTCCCACATGTACTCCAAAAACAAACAAAACAAATACTCATAGCTAGGTGACACACATGAGAGACAAAACAGTGTTTGTCTCAGTGAGGCAGGGTCTCATGTCTCCTGCCTGGCCTTGAACTCACTATGTAGCAAATATGAGGTAGAAGCTTAGACTCTTTAGCCTCCACCTCCCACATGCTTTGATTATGGTCATGCAGCACCATGCCTGATTTGTGTGAGTGCTAAAGAAGGAACCCAGGGCCTTGAGCATGCTGGGTAAGCACTTGCACCAATTGAACTACATCCCCAGACTGTGGAAGAACTATAAAACATGAAGAAATATTTAGATGAACACTAAGTATATAATGTGTATCATTCAAGACAGGACTCACTATGATGCCCAGGCTGACCTTAAAGTAAAGAATTCAAGTTCTACATTTGCCTGTGCCTCCTGAGTAGCTGGCATCATGAATATGCATTTCCACAAGGGATAAATATTTCTTGAGTAGATTCTTGGCATGGATCCTCTACATAACATGAGCACTGAGGCAAAATGCTTCTGTGTATTAAAAAAGACTAGATAAATGATAGCCTTGTTGGAAAGCTAGCAACAGCTTCCCACTGACCTATGAACCAAATTCAAAATCCTATTTAACCTGAAGCTGCAACTAGGAGTTGATGAAAGCAATGTGTTTCACTGAGACATTTTTCATATGTTTTCTTTCATATCCCCACTACCCTTCTCACCCCACCAAATAGACCCGCCCTCCCTCCTACTGCAAGTAGACCTACTTTCTGCTTTCAGCTCGTGCATACACTATTATGCTCTTTGCCTCCTCCCTCCCTACTTTTGGGTCCCTTCCTCCCCTCTCATAGTCACTTTCCTAGGTCCATGTTCATGTATGTCTATGTGTTTGTATAACATAGGTATTGCATCTTAAAGCCTGAGGTCTGAGAGAAAATGTGATATTTGTCATTCTGAGGCTAGCTAATTTTGTATAGCATATTCTATCTGCCTACAGATATTAGAAGTGTATTCTTCTAGACAGTAATAAACTAGATAACATATGGCATGAAAACAGAATTGAGAATTACTTCAAGGGAAGGAAGGGATTCATCCAAAGTGAGAAGGAAACTCAGGACAAAGAGAGATGAATTGAAACGGTGTAATGGATGATTGTAAACGTGTAATGAAGCCAATTGTTTTGTGTGCTAAGTTTTAAAAATGCATAAAATAAAGCTATGAAGGGGTGAAATTTAGAGAACAGTACCCGGTCCGGCTTGTTCCCGGGCAGCCACCATGTTCCCACTGCTCCTCTGCTCTGACGCGGGTCTCCACCTAACTAGATGCACAGGCCCTGGCACCCACCTGATGCCAGCATGGGGGATGGCTTGGCCAATCTCCCATGCTAAATCCACAAAGCTCAGCTGAATCCCAGACAATATCTGTCATCCTCACAGTACCCAGTAGAGATGAGACTCTTAAAGCTTAATGATCATCTAAAGGATTTATATATTTAGAAATGCTTAGTCAACAAGGTGCCCACACAATTAGAGTTGTTACTAAATAGCTAACCTTTTGATAGAATTTGCTACCCAGGACCTGACCGTGGGTCTCCATGGCTGATAACCTCCTTCTTCTCCTCCCCTTCCTCAATTTCTCGCCTCCTCTTCCTCTCTTTCTCTCCCAGCTCCACCTCCTCTTCTACTGCCTAATCACAAAGCTCCACTGGGAATACAATGTAGCAGAATAAGTATCCTGCTACAAAGCTGGACATGAAGCTTAGTTGTTAAACAGTGTTTGTCTATCATGCATGAAACCCTAGGTTAGAACCCAGCTCTGCATGTTCCAGAGATGGGATTACACAGCTGTAATCACAGCACTCGTGAGGCAAAGGCAAGGCACATTCTGGAACTCGAGGTCATCCTTACATAATGAGTTTGAAACCAGCCTTAGGTACAGGAGATCCTGTCCCAAAAGAAAAATGTTAATATTGTCAAGTAAATTATTTCAAAGCCATTTGTGGTGGTACATAACCTTTAATCACAGCACTTTGGAGGAAGGGGCAGGCAGTTCTGAGTTCAAGCCCAGCCTGATCGACAAAGAAAGTTCAAAGCCAGCCAAAGCTAACATAGTGAGAACCCATCTCAAAAAGATAATAATAAAAATAATAATTTTATTCCTGGCTAGAGAGATTGCTCAGTGGTCAAGAGCACTCACTATTCTTCCAGCAAACCAGAGTTCACATCAGGAAGCTCACAACAGCCTGCTGCTGTTGTACAGTGATATGATTTCATAACAGCAATGCCCTCTTCTGGCCTCTGTGGGACTGCACTCATGAATATATACACATAAAAACACACATAAATAAAAAGATTACAATATAAATCTTTAAAATGTATTCTCCACAGGTGAATTGAGTCCTGTTATAACACACCATTTTTCTTATCCATTTGTCAGCTGATGAACCTCTAGTCTAGGATTTTGTTTTTATGTGCACCAAAGATGGTGTTAGATCTACAGCAGCAAGAGTTACAGGAAGCTTCTACAGGGCTAGTCCCTCTAGAAGAACAGCAAGCATTCATAACTTCTAAGCCATCTCTCCAGCCCCTGAACTATATTTTGTTTCACTACAAACTTTTATTTCACTAACATCAGAAACTCATTGTGCTTACAATTGTACCCCACACTATTCTCTTGTCCTGGAGCTAAGAACAGAGGCCAGAGTCAAAACATAGTCCAGAGACAAAAACGACCTCCTAACTTGTGTTACAGATCACTGAGATGATGGTCTGGGGGTACAAAAATTCCAGATATGTAGGGCGAGAAAGTCCTAGGACCCAATGTATAGCATGGTGACTATACTTACTATATGAAATTTCTATAAATATAATTTTTAAAATAAATTTCAAAGGGTCTTACCACAAAACTATAACTACTCACACTGGAAAAATTCATTTTCTACAACAGTCTTACTGGGTATACAAACCATACAGTAGCAGCTAACAAGCACAAAACAAACTCAATGGTAGTTGTGGAGGTTTTGGGGGGGGTGTTTTGTTTTGTTTTGTTTTAATTTAATAGCGCTTTGTCCAGATATTTAGTTTTGTTTTCTTATTTACAGGTCTTGTGTTTACATGCTATGGTTTCTGGTTTTGTGGTGTTTATGGTGTTTCTCTGTGTGTCCAATATGCCTAACTTAGCATCTATGCATTTCTCATTTACCTTTTCTTTGGCTTCATTTGTGTGCTTTATTCTAGTCTGTTTTATTTTATCTTCATTTTTATCTTTTTTTTTAAAGATTTATTTATGTATATGAGTACACTGTCACTCTCTTCAGACACACCAGAAGAGGGCATTGTATCCCATTCCAGATGATTGTGCGTTGATGAGAACTGATCTCAGGGCTTCTGCAAGAGCAGTCAGTGCTCTTAACTGCTGAGCTATCTCTCCAGTCCTATTTATTTTTAGATGCTTGTTTTCTAATGAAAGAGAAAGGAAGGATATGCATGTGGGTGAGTGGAGATGTAAGAAGAATCTGGGAGGAGTTAGGAGAGGAGAAACAATAATCCAAATATATTTTATGAAAAATATATTTTCAACTTTTAAAAAATAATAAAATATTTGGAATATTCTTGCCAAAAGCTAATTAAGGTCATTGGCATTTTCAGCACTTTGATTATAATATTTTAGCTTACATTCAGTCACGTTATCCAACATGAATAGATACCATCTTGACAATTACCTCTCAGGAGAGTAGAGGGTGGGCATGAAGTAACACAAGGTACATATGCGCATGTTTAATGTGAACAATTTAATGATCTTGGAGATAAGAATATACACCCTGAGACCATCAGCAGAGACTTTATAATGAGCACAACCATCCTTTCTTCTACATGAATAGGATTGAGAAATCCATGTATAGTGTCTGTAAAACTTTACCTCTCTCCTGGGTCAGTGGTAAGTGAAAATACCTTGCCATTCAACTGTCGAAATTTTTTCAACTCAAATTCTTAATGTTGTTACTATGTAATGCCTACTTTAGAGGCTTGGTCTTGAAAGTCTTGGGCTTTTTAAGAACATGAAGTCCCATAAAACTATGTTTTTTTTTCTGTTCTCACTTAGAATTCCTTCTCCATGCTGTTTTGTCTGTAAACATTCATACATAGATTCACCTCATGCAGATTCAAAACTCTGCCTTACTGCATAAACAGCATAAGGTAACTATGTATCAGGTTGTTATGGAGACTTACACCATAAATTTCATCAGCTTATTTATACATCGAGCTTAAACGTAGTCGGTGATCTCCTAAGCACAGGACACATGGCACTGTAGATTTTTCATGTGACTTGAGAGGCTGGCATGTTTTCAATGGGACCAATACTCTCATATTAACTCCTTAAATTAGGTGAAGGAATGGATCTCTATGTGAACTTAACCATTATCAGGAATTTGCTCCCTTTTGCCATTTACATAATTTTATTCTTTTTTAATTAATTATTTTATTTACATCTCAAATGTTGCCCTTCCCCAGAGTTCTTCCACCCATCTCCCTCCCCCTTGAGTGGGAGGAATTTGTTCTTAAAGGAGCAGGAGACGGTACTGATAGCTCCTGCTAAGGCACAAAGGTCACCAGCATTTGAGTTAAGAAAGCTATCTCATTGACTCTTTCCATTTCTCCCCACAGTTCTCTAGAGCTGGAAGCTCAGATCTCACCTGTGGGTCAGGATGGAATATTCTGATCAGCTGGGTTTCAACCTAAAACATGTCCTGAAAAAGCTGGACAAGACTGAGTTGAACAATTTCAAGAGTATATTAAAGAGCTGTTCTCTCTCAGAGACAATGAAACAGATCCCCAAGCTGACAATGGATCTAGCCAATGGAGCTCAGCTAGCAGAAATTCTCACAGACTATTGCCCCAGTGATTGGGTAAAGAGAGTCACCGTCTGGATCTTAGAGGAAATCAACCGTGCAGATCTAACTGAGTTAATAAGGAAGCAAATTAAAGGTGAGCAAAGACCACTTCATACCGTGTCCTAGAAAAGAGGAATCGTCTTAAGGGTTTTGGATATGTAGAAATGTCAGGCATGATGGGTGGTACCTGTAGTTCCAGTGCTAGGGAAGCTGAGGCAAGAGGATTGGTTTGAATTGTAGACTAGTCTAGGCTATATGGTAAGTCGCTGTCTCAAAAATAAAAAGGCTGAGGAGATAAGTGCCTACCATGAAAACATGAATACCTGAGTCTGATCCTCAGACTCATATAGTTTTTTTTAAAAGCCAGGCATTATAGTACACACGTAATCCCAACACTAGGGATGTGGTGGAAAGAAGAGGACCCTGGAGCTCTCTGGCCAGCCAGCCTAGCCTACTTGCCACTGAGCTTCTTCCTGGCCAATGAGAGATTCTGCCTCAGAAACTAAGGTGTATGGTGCTACCCATAGCACTAATGGGACCATCCTATGATTTTGTTCTAGCATCTTTAGCAGCATCTCTAGTCCCCTCATGCCACTTCCCAATTCCCATAGCCATCAGCTGCACAGTGCCTCCCTCAACTTGTAACTTTCAAAGGTCTGTAGATGTGGTCAGTTGTCCACAATGAAATGAAATCTCCTGGAATTGAGATCCTTCGTTTTATGCTTCTTCTTGGAGCTATCCTAAAAATTTTAGGTACACTGACATCTAGGATGTGTAATTGGGGATAAATAATAAAATATTAGTGTAGGGCTTCATCTAGGCATGGAAACAGATGGAAGATGGAAGTAGAAAAAGAGCAAGACTGGGCCTGATGCTAATTTTGAAACCTCAAAACCCACCCACCCCCCAGTGACACATCTCCTTCCAAGAGACCACACTTCCTAATCCTTTCTAAACAATCTACCAACTGGTAACCAAATGTTCAATGCATTGAGTATACAGGCGCCATTCACATTCAAACCACCACACACATCCCTTTTCTAGAATCTATGATTACAGAGCCAGACAAGAGCTCCCTCCTGTGGAGCAAGCCTCATATACATTCAGAAAGCAACTTGTTACCCATGAGTCAAGCCAGAGTGAAAGACAGTTGGAATGCATCTGGGGAATCATGCAAATTTCTTCTACCTTTTTCCTTTTCAGAAGCAGCATCAAATTCACCTAAGAAAAAGGTTTCTTCTAAACAAAGTAAGTTCCTTGTGAATAATTTTTATTCATGGGAGATTTGAATACCTTAGGATTCCGTTAAAAATATATATATACATATATATATGTATATATGAATATATGTATTCATATATACATATATATATATATGTATATATATATGAATGATTCTGTGTTTAAACACTAAAGGATATGAAAAGATGGTCCCTAAGGTCTAGTCTGTCTCGCAGTGAGCACAGGGTAGTGATAAGATAAACTCCAGCAAGTTACTATCTAATAGGAGTCAGCAGGTACATATGAGGGTGGGAAGAAGTAAGCTGTTCCTTATCCAGGGAGGTGGGCTGGGACTTGGCTTTCCTTTTTCTTTGTTCATTTTATTTAAAAACTTTACATATATAATGAATTTTGATTGTATCCACCCATATTTCATGCCCTGGAGTTTATATACCCTCTATTTTCCACCCAAACTTTATTTCATTTTTTTTTACTTAATCATTTATATCCCACTCACTGCCCCTCTCCTGGTCACCGCCTTCTCATAATCATTGTCCCTCTCCTTCTCTTCTGAGTGGGTGGAGGCCCCCTGGGTATCTCCATACCATAGCACTTCAAGTCTCAGCAAAGTTAGGTGCTTCCTCTCCCACTGAAGCCAGACAAGGCAACCCAACTAGAAGAACATATCCCACAGGCAGGCAACAGCTTTTGGGAGAGGCCCAGGTCCAGTTATTTGGGACTCACATGAAGACCAAACTACACATTTGCTACATATGTGCAGGGAGGCCTAAGTCCAGCCTGTGTATGCTCTTTGTTTTGTCGTTTGGTCTCTGAGAGACCCAAGGGTCCAAAACTCTGTTGGTCTTCCTGTGGAGTTCTATCCCCTTAGGGGTTGCAATCCTTCCTCCCATTCTTCCATAAGAGTTCCCAAGCTCCATCTACTGTTTGGCTGTGGTTTTCTGCATCTGTCTGAGTCAGCTGCTAGTTGGAGCCTCTCAGGGGGCAGCCATGCTAGACTCCAGTCTTCAAGCATAACAGTGCACTCTGAACTTCATATAATCTTTTTTTTAACACACTTTGAGTCATCTTACTGTATGAGTAGGGGGTTAGAACTGTCTACTGGAGCATGGGCATCCTCTCAGGGTTGCATCTTGGTTTTGTTTATATTTTTACATACCACTCACTGCCTCTTCCCATTCTCCCTCCCCTTCTCAGAGTGTGGCCCAGCCCCTGGGTAGCCCCCAACCTTGGCATATCAAGTCTTTGCAGGTTTAGGCACTTAACTGGTAAGTTTAACTAGCATGGCTTAAAGGAGCATAGATGAGGGTCTATTTACAGAAACATAGGCCCCTTAACAGTAGGTACATCACTGAAGAAATAGTGTTCCCTCCGGCTAGAATATTGATTGGACCAGTCTTAACAAGTTAACCACATATGCTAAGAGTTCAAAAGTACAGCACCCTTGTCATGCCTGGAGCACAGTATTCTCCTCCTTTCTGGATGTTACATTCATTTCCATCCCCTCTTCTGCAATGTTCCGTGGACCTTGGAAGAAGTTATAATGGATGTCCATTTAAGGCTGAGCATCTTTCAATAGTTATTTAGTCTCAGCACTTGTTTATAAGTCTGCTGTTCATGACCACTCACTGATAAAATTTGGCCTAGACCAAAGATCAATAAGCTATAGCAGCCTGAAGGCTAAAGACAGACCCTATCATCTGTATTTCTAAAGTCCACAAGCTTAGAGTCCTTTTTAGAATGTTTACATTTTCATTTTATTTGTATATATGTGAATGACATGCATGTACATGACATGGCACACATATGGAGGTCAGAGGACAACTTGTTATCGGTTCTAAATTTTCCATTGTCCATGATGTGGCTACTGTATCTTGCTGTGGCCATCAGACTTGGTAGCAAATATATTTACCTGGTCATCTATCTTGCCATCCCAATTTTTGTATTTCTAAGTGGTAGAATAAAAAGGGAAATTTTGCACAAAATCGTGTGGAGTTTGAAATTCAGTGTCAGTAACCAGCTTTTATATAGTACTTCTTAATTTATGTTTTACTTCGTTGAGCCAGGTTCTCACCATGTAGCTCAGACTGACTCTGAAGTCAAAATCCTTCTATCACAGCCTCCCCAATGCTGCCATTATGGCTATGTGCCTCTGTGCCCATGCCATCAAACAGATTTGTGTGAATACAGATGCTTATTTGTTTTTATTACCTGTGGCTGCTTTACCACAGAATTGAAAATGTACAGGCAAAGGCATATGGGTTGAAAAGCAAAACCTATTTACTGTCTGGCCCTTTAAATGAACAATAATTGTCCCTGGCCATCTTAGTTTCTTTTCTTGTGGCTGTGATAAAATATCTTGACAATGGTAACTTAAGGGAGAAAGGGTTTGTTGGGACTCATAATTCCAGGTTACAGTCCATCATGGCAGAGAAGTTATAAAGGCAGGAACCTGAGGGAACTGGTCACATTGCACCCACAGTCAAGAGCAGACACCAGAGTCCAGGGCAATTGCCCAGCACTTAAGAACATTTTCTGCTCTTCAAAGGACCTGAGCTGGATTTCACCCAGCAACTCACAATTTCCTGTAATTCAAGCTCCCGAGAGTCCCATGCCCTCTTCTGGACTCCTGGAGCACATGAACACATGTGAAACATGCTCACACAAATACACAGACATACACATAAATGAAGTAAAAAGGTAAAAGAAAGAGACCAATGAATTAACGCATGCATGCCAGGGCTCAGCTTATTCTCCCCATTCTAATACAGTCCAGAATTCCCTGCTCAAGGAAGCATCACACCACAATTAAGGTGGGTCCTTTCCATATCAATTAACCAGAATCAAGACAGTCCCTCAAAGCCAGTCTCAGACTTTTAACCTAGACAACCCCTCATAAATGGGCCAGGAAAGTTCCTCTGTGTTAAGTTGACAACATTAGCTATTACAAGGATTTGGGGTATCAATTTTTTTCCAATTTTCTCTTCCTGATATTGCTGGTGTACTATAAAATATTACTTGGGCTCTAAGCAGCAGTCACTGAAAGATACTTTAGAAGGTCCCATGACCATTCCTGCCGAAGCCCAGATCATCCAACTGCTTTTAGGGATGTATTAGTGGATCTTATGATACCAGTTGATAGTCTATCAGATCTGAAATTTTACAAGGTTTTAAGGATTTGTACCTGCTACAAGTTAGATGGTTAACTGGACATTCTGAGTGAACAATCACCAGATAATAAATTTGTTAAATATTTAGTTGAGAAAGTTTGAGTTTATTCAAGGTATGCAATGCCATGATGGGTTAATAAACAAATACCCATGTAATGGTTATATACACATTAAGCCATATATCACCACCCACATTTGAACCCAAGAACTTATTCATAAGATAAATAAGTGTGTTCCTTTTTTTAAGTCTTTTTGTATAGACCAGTACCTCAAACTTGGAATCCTCCTACTTCCACCTTACAAGTTCTGGATTTCTAAGCATGTATCACCATGCTTGATTTGAGTTTAGCTTTTTAAGATTTCACATCTGGTAAAAAGAAAAAAATTCAAATCTGAGATCATATGGTGCCCGTCTTTCTCTGCCTGACTCCTTTCCCTTAGTATAATTTTATTTTTTATTTAATTTTATTTTACTTGTGTGTGTTCAGAGATGAGCACTCCCATCTGTGGCTATATGTGTGTACCCCCATGCACCTGAAAACCAGAGAAGGATACAGGGAACTCTCTGCCTCATCTGCCTTATTCCCTTGAGAATAGAATCTCTTACTGAGCTTGGAGCTAGGAGCCTATGAACAAGCTGCACTAGCCCTCTTGTCTCTGCCTCCCACTATACTGGGGTTGCAAG